TGTCATTGTAAATCCCCATTTCATTGTATGTTCTAGGTGGGGTTGTTGCCCATAGTGTCCAGTAGGGGCACTGTAGTTCAGTTTTTTTGTTTAGTCGGTGCGAGTCTCCTGTCAGTCAGCACTTTGGGCAGAAGTACCCATGGACAGGAGGAAGAGGAGGAGCATCTTCATTTTGTACTTGAGCTGGCGCTCATATTTTCAGTAGCGTTTAGGACAGCACGACAACCTTTACCGCTGTGGACTTTGTAGCCCTCGGACGGCGGAGCGAGGTGCTCTTTTGGAGCTTTATTTGGTTGATGTAATGTATTCATGTTTTATGTGATGTATTCATGTTTTGTGTGTTTTTCTTTAGTTTTCACGGTGACTCATTAACTGGTTCAAACCCAGTAAAAGTGAATATACTGCACCCGTCGAAGCTCTCCGTGTTTTTCTTGGGTCTGAGGGACTGCTACAGTCATTAAAATAACCATTAATACACCTGTATACACTGTCAATTTATTTGTTATTCTTTTATTTCTCATTATATTTTGGAATCACAAATGATATACCTACTTTCTCATTCAACAATTTAGATACATCTGTATACATTTGTATGGATCTGAAAATAATGAGACACCAAAAAATGATGTTTTCATCATGATTTTTAATGAAAACATCGTTAACCATTATAATGAATTTCATTGGACTTATCATACTACCTTATTTAGTACCATTTTCAACTTGATATTTTGCACTTATTGCCCCACTTATTTATACTCTAATATTTCTTTCAGTTAATTTTTTTATCCATCTATATATTTTACCTCTTTTACCTATTTGTTTTTATTTAAATCAACAGTCCTTCTTTCCATAACGTGTCATATAAATAATTTAATATTTGTCTGTACTGTTATTTCACTTCCTCTTTTAATATGTATCTTTGCAAACACTTTAGCTAATAACTAGACTTTGTTTTTATTATCTATTATAATATTTCCATTTCTTTTTATTACTGGGACAACATACTCTTTTGAACTTCCAGACATTTTTTAATTGTATTCCAAACACTGTTTAGTGAAGGGTTTGGAATATTATTTCCCCCAAAGATTCACAAATTTTCTCCAATAATCCCTTTTACCATTTCTTATAGTTTTCACAACTTTTGCCTGTTTCCTTTTATAACTTATCACATTTTGGAAACAAATAATTTTCCGTTGTTTAATTGCTGTTGAATGTTCTGTTGTCCTCCAAGGAAATATCTTCTTTTTTTAATACCAGTACTTCTAGGATTTAATATTTTGGCTGTATTAATAATACATTTACTGATTTCTGATTTTAATTTATTTATAATTTTCCTTATATCTACATTTTTCATATTATCCTAACTCATCACTTTAAAATTATCCCAGATTTCTAACCCAAATTTCCATTTGCCCTCAACTTCTACCTGGTCTTCCTCTGTTTCTATTTCTATCCTAACAAAAATTGGATAATGATCACTCCCCATTGTGCTTTCCTTACATACTGTCCAGCTGCAACTATCACCAAAAGATTAATCCCTTAAGACTTTCGCTAAATCTACATCTCCAATAACTTTCTTCAAACTGATAGGACTTACTCCAATCACATCCTGCCAAGCCTTAAATTTTAATATAACTTTAAAATCTTCCATCATTATTTTCATTCTAATTTAAACTCTTTCTTCCTGAAGCTCAAGAGATATTTTACCAGCATTTAGAACCCCTTACCTTATCTTCCCCCTCTAAAACTAACCATCCTGATCCTCTCACAATCCAGATTATGCCAAAACCACATTAAAATTCAACTTATTGCCAGATGACGTTTGAGGGTTTTCACTTTAAAAAAAATCTGGTTCTCTTTATCAGCAACAGCCGCTTCCTCGACTCCCTCCTCCAGTCCTGCTTCCTCTACTTCAGCACACCTGAGTCAGGTATTCAGGTCACCAGCAGAACCAGAACCTGTTTAGCTCAGGTGTGTTGGAGCAGAGACACATGTAAATGATGTAGGACACTGAGGACTGGAGGTGGACACTCCTGTCTCAGTGGATGAAGTCCACATTTATTTTCTGTTCTTCATAACGATTAATTTTCCACCTTGTTATCTTGTATTTTTACACTTTGTTCTTATTGTGTTTTAGAGATAATGTTGTTCAACTGGCGGGAGAGGGACCAACACCGCCCGGCCCCTATATTGAGCGATGTGAGAGAGACATTGAAGTTATGAGAATAAAATATTTTTCTGCCTCTACAGAAAAGGTTGAATGAATAACATTTATGATTCTCATGTGGCACTATAGTAACTGATGATGGTGTTCCAGCACATCTTCAATGTGTCGACGTCAATGTTGTTTCGCTTCCCACTGACTTGCCAGTGTATGGGAATGTATTCACTGCTTCAGCACCAAACCAGGATATCTGCTATGTAAGTTTGTTTTCTCAATATCTCCCTACAATGATTAGAAGAATGTTTTGTTTTACAACATAAATAAATATATTGATATCAATTTTTTTTACAGGACGACGATGGTGGAGCAGCGTTGCACAACGGCATGATTTATGGTGTGATTTCTCATGGTGGACCAGATGCATGTCAGAAACCAGTTGTAATCATGAATGTGTGTAGATACAAGCTGTGGATACAGAAAAGAACTGGGCTTCAATGAAAAATAAACTTTCATGAAATAAAACTCCCAGCAAATTTCCTCTCACATATAATTGTGTCTTCATCAGTTTGATTCACATGTTTGTAGAGTTAGAATAAATCAAAAGTTGAGTTTTTTTCTCACCTGATCTTGACCTCCCTAATGGAGCTTTCTCTGCCTCAGAAATGAAAAATAAATCAATACATGAAACAGACACATTTCCTGGCTGATTGTCTTTACATTCATGGTTCAGTTTGTTCAGTTGATATTTTCCCTGAACTGAGTCTAAAAACGTGACATAAGTTTTAAATCACATGAAAAGGAACACGAAAAGTAATTTATTGATTCAGTTTATTTTCCTCATCACTGGCAATAAATTTATATGTACAACTTTGGACATGCAGCTCAAGGAAAGACTGTTTTGCTTGTGAACCAAGACAAAATGACCTAAATATAAATTGAGTTAGAGTATTTATCGATCCATGGATTTAATAAACATCCTTGTCCCGAGTGGGGTCAGGAACAAAGTATTCATATTCATGAAGAGTTGTACTTGTTCATCACAAAATATAATGATTATAATAAAAAAATATATGTCATTAGTTTTCAATCACAAGCAGAGGAACACCTCAAGTAATTTTTATTTATTCAGATTTTTCTCTCCTCACTGGCACAAACCAGTGGCGCAAAGGGGCGCTGCACTAGAGGGGGCGCTGCACTAGAGGGGGCGTCAAAACCCCCAATAGAAAAAATGTTTTCTATATTTAACAGCATGAAATTATCAATAACGGAGTAAATTAAAGTACATTTATGTCTTTATGCACATTTATCTATGTTTTCAGATTTGTTTTATGGCATCTTCAAATCTATTTTGATAGAGATCTTAATGGGTGTTTTAAAGAATCAGATAGTATTTTGCAAAGATTTGAAGTTCTTTAAGTTTATAGCATTATTTATTTCCTGGTTCGGTAAAGGGATCCTAAAAATCCACATTCATGGAAACATCTGCCTCTCCCAGCTGCTTCCTTCCCTGAGAAAAAATATACCAACACAAGTAGGAATATTTTTCCCATCTTGTTTTATTACCTATATGTGTAACAAGCAGGTGAAATTTTATTGTTGGCTTTACCATAACTTATCCCCTATATCGTTACTTGCAGACAGATCATATTTTCTTCACCTCTAAAGGTACTGGACTGGTTTGAAACCAGTTGTAGTATTAATAGTTTAATTATTTTGTGACAAACTCCTTAATCATGCTCAGCCCTTTATTTTAAAAATGTTCAGTGTGCATCTATGTGCATGTGAGGAGATAAAACAAAGACAAAGAGTCCTTTTGTCCAGAACAGAGTGTTCCTTATGAATTTCTTGTAACATTTCTTGTAACATTTCTTGCCTATTAAACCACAAGATTCACAGTTTCTTTTACGAAAGACATTTTAGTTACATTTTGTTTTTCACTATGTAGCATCAGGTCTTTTTTTTCTATTTTTTGTATTGATGTTTGTCCTTAACTTGATCTTTGTTAGCACATTAGCTCCACTTTACACCAAACTAACATTTAGTCACAGAAAACATGTTTTTTTTTTTCAATTAGGAGATGAATATGTAATCATGCCTCTAATTAGTCAAGTCACAGATTGTTCCTCACTGGTTCATCAGACAAGGTAGGTAAGTTCAGGAAGGTTTGGTTTACATTTACAGAATTGTTTTCACAGTAAATGTGACTGGAGTGTGATCCAGTCAAATTCTGGATCACAGCATATTTAATTCTGGACCCGTTTCATTTCAAGGACAATTCAACAAAACCTGAGTCGACAGATTTTGCATTTAGCCAACATCAACGAGACTGTGGCTAGTATGGACGTTAGCACAGAAACTCGCAGAGTTTAGAATGGAGACTAACATGGAGCCCAGCATAGAATCTAGATCTCACTCACTAGAAGCTAGCACTGATATATTGTTATTTTTTAAAGAAAAGAATATGTTTTATAGAGGGTCGTTTTCACAGCTCATCAGTAACAAAATGATTCTACTTTCATGAGCCAAGGCAGATGTGAATTCTTGTAGATTGGAAACCAAGCAGTTAACATTAACTTACAAGTAACTTTGAGATAAAATATGAGTTTCTTTTTTGAGTGAATTTCTTAATATTGATGAAAAAGTTCTTGTTTCATTGGTTGATTATTGAAGTTATAAGGGGGAAATGTTTGGCTATTAGTGAAACAATCAGTCAATGGACCAAGAATTTTTGAAAGTTTTTTTTTAGAAAAATTCAATGTTAAAATTCATCCGTATGCAGATAACAGCACAGATCAGTGTCAGTCCTGTGATTGGTGGCTTTCTTTACAGAAGGAAGTTGTGAACAGAGTTTAAAAGCTTGTGCAAGACACCAGACATTCACAGGAAGCTGGACCAGCAATGGCTCTGCTGAAGGTTCTGCTGCTGCTGGGGCTGGGTGAGTTAGAAACACTGGAGACACTGGAGACATTTCCACTGGTTCCAGGGAGGCTGCTGGTCTCTGTGACTCTCAAACTTCCCTCTAATTTGAAACTTCTTTGCATTTAAACTGTGATGTTTTTAAATCTTAAACTGTTTATTCTTTTTCTGTTGCAGCAGTCATGTTTGTACCTGATTTCTAAGTAAAGTCTTCCTTTTTCTTCAGGTATTTCAGTGAACTCAGCTGTTTCTCTCCAAAAGAGAATCATTGGAGGTGAAAACTGTAAAGACAGTGAGCGTCTTTATTATGTCCGGCTGGAGACCAGCATTGATAATGTCATTATCCGCTGTGGAGGATCTCTGATCCACGCTGAGTGGATCCTGACTGCAGCTCACTGCGTGATGTTCTGGCCAGGATGGTAGGAAAGAGACACAAAGACAGTTTTATTGGCAGAATATCAGGTTTTCTGTTCGTTCATTATAATCTCACCTTTTCTGCAGGACTAACGTAGCAATCGTAAAAGTTCATCCACGGACTGCTGGGCAGGAGAGACAATTGATCCAACAAAATCCTTTGATTTATTCTCGCGATGACAGGTATCATGGCATCATGTTGGTGAAGCTTCAGACACCAGTAACAGGTGTCCCACTTGCTCAGTTACCAGACTGCAGGCATCGTCTTAAAGTGTAAGTCTTTCCCTGATCAATACCATGACTTCAGGTTTTCTGTCTCTACTCCTCCAATCCTTCTTCTTTGTTTCCTCTATCCCACTGTTGTTGCGATTACTTACTGATATACATTTTAATAATATTTGTTATCTCATTTTTATTTATTTTAATATTTAAATCAACAATATTCTCTTTTGCAGCACTCTTAGTAAAACTATCAGCCAACTCATTTTCTTTCACACAAATGTGGGCAAGAATCTAAATTAGTTTAACATAAGAACCATAATTTTTAATCCTGAAAATTTAGTGAATTATGTCCAATATAATATCTTCCCTTGATTCTGAATTTTACTCTTGAATACTTAATGCACTACTTGAATCTGAACAAATCAAAACATCCCTCTCTCTTGTTTCCTCAATCCATTCTAAAGTCATTAAAATAGCGATTAATACACCTGTATACACTGTCAATTTATTTGTTGTTCTTTATTTCTCATTATATTTTGGAATCACAAATGATATACCTACTTTCTCATTCAACAATTTAGATGAATGTGTATATATTTCTATGGATCTGAAAATAACGAGACACCAAAAAATTATCTTATTATCATGGTTAATAATAAAAACATAATCAGGTAATCAGGTCACCAGCAGAACCAGAACCTGTTTAGCTCAGGTGTGTTGGAGCAGATACACATGTAAAGGATGCAGGACATGTGGACACTCCTGTGTCAGTGAATGAAGTCCTTCATGAATTTATTTTCTGTTCTTCATTACAATTAATTTTCCACCTTGTTATCTTGTATTTTTACACTTTGTTCTTATTGTGTTTTAGAGACAATGTTGTTCAACTGGCCGGAGAGGGACCAACATCGCTCGATACCAATAATCAGCAATGTGAGAGAAATATTGAAGTTATGAGAATAAAATATTTTTCTGTGTCTACAGAAAATGTTGCATGAATAACATGTTCATGATTCTCATGCGTTACTACAGCAATCAATGTTGCTGTTCCAGCACATCTTCAATGTGTCGACATCAATGTTGTTTCACTTCCCGCTGCCATGCCAGTGTACGGGAATGTATTCACTGCTTCAGCACCCAACAAGGATATCTGCTATGTAAGTTTGATTTCTCAATATCTGTACAATGATTAGAAGAATTTTCTGTTTTACAACATAAATATTTCAATAACATTTTTCTACAGGGTGATGATGGTGGAGCAGCGGTGCACAACGGCATGATTTATGGTGTGATTTCTCATGGTGGACCAGATGCATGTCAGAAACCAGTTGTAATCATGAATGTGTGTATATACAAAAAGTGGATAAAAAAAAGAACTGGGCTTCAATGAAAAATAAACTGTAATGAAATAAAATTCTCAGTAAATTTCCTCTCACATATAATTGTGTCTTCATCAGTTTGATTCACATGTTTGTAGAGTTAGAATAAATCAAAAGTTGAGTTTTTTCTCACCTGATCTTGACCTCCCTAATGGAGCTTTCTCTGCCTCAGAAATGAAAAATAAATCAATACATGAAACAGACACATTTCCTGGCTGATTGTCTTTACATTCATGGTTCAGTTTGTTCAGTTGATATTTTCCCTGAAAACGTGACATGAGTTTTAAATCACATGAAGAGGAACACCAGAAGTAATTTATTGATTCAGTTTATTTTCCTCCTCACTGGCAATAAATTTATATGTACAACTTTGGACATGCAGCTCAAGGAAAGATGAACACACAGAGATGCAAATGATTCTGGATTCTTTTGCTTGTGAACCAAGACAAAATGACCTAAATATAAGTTGAATTAGAGTATTTATCCATCCATGCATTTAATAAACATCCTTGTCCCCAGTGGGGTCAGTAACAAAGTATTGATATTCATCAAGAGTTGTACTTGTTCAATCACAAAAAAAGTAATGAAAATAAAAAAAATAGATAACATGAATTTTAAATCACAAGTAGAGGAACACCAGAAGTAATTTATTTATTCAGGTTTTTCTCTCCTCACTGGCACGAACCAGTGGCACAAAAAGTGGGTATGCAAGGCATAGAGGCGCTGCACTAGAGGGGGCGTCAAAACCCCCAATAGAAAAAATGTTTTCCTAGTTGGCATTTTCTATATTTAACAGCATGAAATTATCAATAACGGAGTAACAGCACTGATTAGGAGCCCCTCTGCTCCTTCACCTCCCCTCCTATTTCTCTCCCTTCCCACACAGGTGGCTTGGGACCCTAAGAGAACAAACTCAGGAGCGTTGTTTTTCTTTTTTTTAAATCTTAGACTACCACTCTTAGTGTACTTGATAGCAAGATGGATTCTTTAAGTAAAAATTATTTGTATAAGTTTATGTGTGTATCAAATTAGTCTGTGTCATTTGCAGGTTTCATACCAGTATTAGTAGTAATAGGTTATTTATTTTTAGACCAGCTTCATGACAGTGTCCAGTCCACATGGGCTTATAAAACACACAAACGCGTTCAAAGTTGCAGACAGAAGCAAACATCAACACATCCTTTGAACATAAAGAGTCCTCTTTCAAAGGAGACAATTTTTTAAAAACATACTAAGCTAACAAAAACAGAGAATCAATCTGCATATTAATTTTCTGATAATTATCGAGATTTAACAGAGACAGAGACACATTGTTTGATCAACACAAAAGATTATTGAGATTAAAGCTTTTTCAGGTTGTACATAATATACAGTTTGGTTTGCTTCCTATATTGTTGTACTTTTCATCACTTTATTTGTCAATGACAAGTACTGTGAATGTTTTTTCTTTATTCAACTTTTGGGAAAAATAATTAAGAACAGATGAATGATCATTGAATATGGATAGTTCTTTTCCATCGTTCAATTATCTTTATATCCACACAAGACAAGTTGTGAAGCAACTTCTAGACTCTAGATGTAATGAGAATTATGTCAAATGTAATCTACAATGGGTCACACTCAGTTTTGAGCCTAAAATTATGTGATAAAGTTGAAAAAAAAAACAGAGACATTTAATGCAGCATCTTTCTAGCACTGCTTCATGACAGATAAAGTGTCTGTGTTGCTTTTAGCTCTGTGTTTTCGGTCGTACCACTCTCATCACATCTAATCTCATCAGACCTTGGAAGCAAAGCACAGTTGGGCCCGGTTTGTCCTAGAATGAAAGACCGCATTGGAATACCAGGTGTTGTAGACTTTTGCTGGATCTTTCAATAAAATATATTTTGTAAAATTTGACAGTGAAGCAAAATGTGCAAGAGCAGAGGTATGAATATATGTGGAAGTGGTCTGTGTTGAGTTAAAAAGTGTGAAAATGTAAAAGTCTTTAGTGCCCTCTTGCTTGGGCGAAGGATTAAAGCACATGATGAAGCACCAGCTGCGGAGGGTTGTTGGTTCAATCCTCAACTCCCATCCCACTGTGGGGTGAACTACTGCTATCATCGTTACCGTAAACACAACTAAATAACAATTACAAAACAACAAAATCAGAGAAAATTCTTCCACATCAATTTCTTTTAAAATAAAACTTTTTAAAAAAAATACAGGTGTGTTTCTGTGTCTGGTGAATGTTTGGTTAAAATAAGCTTGTTCTTCATTCACGTTATTCACGATATACAATTTAATCCACACATAAGAATAGAAATATTCATCATAAAATTATTCAAATTAAAGTACATAACTTATCCCCTATATTGTTACTTGCAGACAGATCATATTTACTTCACCTCTAAAGGAACTGGACTGCTTTCAAACCAGTTGTAGTATTAATAGTTTAATTATTTTGGGACAAACTCCTTAATCATGCTCAGCCCTTTATTTTAAAAATGTTCAGTGTGCATCTATGTGCATGTGAGCAGATAAAATAAAGACAAAGAGTCCTTTTGTCCATAACAGAGTGTTCCTTATGAATTTCTTGTAACATTTCTTGCCTATTAAACAACAAGATTTATCGTTTCTTTTACGAAAGACATTTTAGTTACATTTTGTTTTTCACTGTGTAGCATCAGGTCTCTTTTTTCTATTTTTTGTATTAATGATTGTCCTTAACTTGATCTTTGTTAGCAAATTAGCTCCACTTTACACCAAACTAACATTTAGTCACAGAAAACATGTTTTTTTTTTCTTCTTTTTTTCGATTAGGAGGTGAATATGTAATCTTGCCTCTAATTAGTCAAGTCACAGATTGTTACTCGCTTGTTCGTCACACGAAGTGCGTAAGTTCAGGAAGGTTTGGTTTACATTTACAGAATTGTTTTCACAGTAAATGTGACTGGAGTGTGATCCAGTCAAAATCTGGATAACAGCATATTTAATTCTGGACCCGTTTCATTTCAAGGACAATTCAACAAAACCTGAGTCGACAGTTTTTGCATTTAGCCAACATCAACGAGACTGTGGCTAGTATGGACGTTAGCACAGAAACTCGCAGAGAGTTTAGAATGGAGACTAACATGGAGCCCAGCATAGAATCTAGATCTCACTCACTAGAAGCTAGCACTGTAATATTGTTATTTTTCAATGAAAAGAATCTGTTTTTAAAGAGCGTCGTTTTCACAGCTCATCAGTAAACAAAATGATTCTACTTTCATGAGCCAAGGCAGATGTGAATTCTTTTAGATTGGAAACCAAGCAGTTAACATTTAACTTACAAGTAACTTTGAGATAAAATATATGAGTTGCTTTTTTGAGTGAATTCCTTAATATTGATGAAAAAGTTCTTGTTTCATTAGTTGATTATTCAAGTTATAAGAGGGGGAAATGTTTGGCTATTAGTGAAACAATCAGTCAATGAACTAAGCATTTTTTTAAAAAATTTTTTGAAAAATTTGATGTTAAACTTCATCCGTATGCAGATAACAGCACAGATCAGTGTTGGTCCTGTGATTGGTGGCTTTCTTTACAGAAGGAAGTTGTGAACAGAGTTTAAAAGCTGCTGCAGGACTGCAGACATTCACAGGAAGCTGGACCAGCAATGGCTCTGCTGAAGGTTCTGCTGCTGCTGGGGCTGGGTGAGTTAGAAACACTGGAGACACTGGAGACATTTCCACTGGTTCCAGGGAGGCTGCTGGTCTCTGTGACTCTCAAACTTCCCTCTAATTTGACATTTCTTTGCATTTAAACTGTGATGCTTTTTAATCTTAAACTGATTATTCTTTTTCTGTTGCAGCAGCCATGTTTGTACCTGATTTCTGAGTAAAGTCCTCCTTTTTCTTCAGGTGTTTCAGTGAACTCAGCTGTTTCTCTACAGAAGAGGATCATTGGAGGTGAAAACTGTAAAGACAGTGAGCGTCTTTATCATGTTCGGCTGGAGAGCAGCAATGCTACTGACATGATCCGCTGTGGAGGATCTCTGATTCACCCTCGGTGGATCCTGACTGCAGCTCACTGCTTGAAGTCGGGGCCAGGATGGTAGGAAAGAGACACAAAGACAGTTTTATTGGCAGATTACCAGGTTTTCTGTTTGTTCATTATAATCTCACATTTTCTGCAGGACTCACGTAGCAATCTTAAAAGTTCATCCACGGACTGCTGGGCAGCAGAGACAATTGGTCAAACAATATCCTTTTATTTTTAAGTATGATGGCAAGAAGCATAACATCATGTTGTTGAAGCTTCAGACACCAGTAACAGGTGTCCCACTTGCTCAATTAACAGACTGCAGGCATCGTCTTAAAGTGTAAGTCTTTCCCTGATCAATACCATGACTTCAGGTTTTCTGTCTCTACTCCTCCAATCCTTCTTCTTCTTCTTTGTTTCCTCTATCCCACTTCTGTTGCGATTACTTATTGATATACATTTTAATATTTGTTACCTCATTTTTATTTATTTTAAAATTTAAATCAACAATATTCTCTTTTGCAGCAATCTTAGTAAAACTATAAGCCAACTCATTTTCTTTCACACCAATGTGGGCGAGAATCTAAATTAGTTTAACATAAGAACCATCATTTTTAATCCTGAAAATTTAGTGAATTATGTCCAATATAATATCTTCCCTTGATTCTGAATTTAACTCTTGAATACTTAATGCACTACTTGAATCTGAACAAATGAAAACCTCTGTCTCTCTTGTTTCCTCAATACATTCTAGTGTCATTAAAATAGCGATTAATACACCTGTATACACTGTCAATTTATTTGTTGTTCTTTATTTCTCATTATATTTTGGAATCACAAATGATATACGTACTTTTTCAGTAAAAATTTAGTTGCATCTGTATATATTTCTATGGATCTGAAAATAATGAGACACCAAAAAATGATGTTATCATCATGGTTAATAATGAAAACATTATTAACAATTATAATAAATAGCATTGGACTTATCATACTACCTTGGGTAGTACCATTTTCAACTTGATATTTTGAAATTATTCAAATATTGGCCTACCTATTTTTACTTTAATATTTCTTTCACTTAATTTTTTTTATCCATCTATATATTTTACCTCTTTTACCTACTTGTTTTTATTTTAATCAACAGTCCTTCTTTCCATAACGTGTTTTAAGCCTTTTGCACATCCAGGAAGACTGCTATTAAATTCTTCTTATTAATCTGAGCCTGTCTAATTTCATGTTCCAGGTATTATTCAGGATCTATTGTACTTCTGCCTTTTCTAAATACAAATTGATACGACGTTATCTTCTCCTTAGATCATAAGAAAATGAATCAATCTGTTATTTACCATTTTTTACATTATTTTACCTAAATATGATGTTAGAGCTATTGGTCTGTAGCTTTCAGCTGATTTAGGATCTCTATCAGGTTTACAAATGGGTATAATGATAGCTTCTTTCCACTTATCAGGTAATATCCCTTCCTCCGACACCTTATACAATTCCAATAATATTTCTTCACTCACATCACTAAGATGCTTTAACATAGTATAACTGATTTGATCATCCCGAGGAGTTGATTTACTGGAATTCTTCAGTGCATTATTTAACTATATCAAAGAAAACTTCATATTAATAACATTCTTACAATCTTCATTATTATGAAATAATTCAATATTTGTCTGTACTGTTATTTCACTTCCTCTTTTGTCTTTATTATTAAGATTATCTGTAATATGTATCTTTGCAAACACTTTAGCTAATAACTAGGCTTTATTTTTATTATCTATTATAATATTTCAATTTCCTTTTATTACTGGGTAAAAATATTCTTTTGAACTTCCAGACATTTTCTAATTGTATTCCAAACCCTGTTTAGTGAAGGGTTTGGAATATTATTTCCCCCAAAGATTCACAATATTTCCTCCAATAATCCCTTTTAGCATTTCTTATACTTTTCACAACTTTTGCCTGTTTCCTTTTATAACTTATCACATTTTGGAAACAAATAATTTTCTGCTGTTTAATTGCTGTTGAACATTCTGGTGTCTTCCAAGGAAATATCTTCTTTTTTTAATACCAGTACTTCTAGGAATTAATATTTTGGCTGTATTAATAATACATTTACTAAATTCTGATTTTAATTTATTTATAATTTTCCTTATATCTACATTTTTCATATATTCCTCACTCATCACTTTAAAATTATCCCAGTTTTCTAACCCAAATTTCCATTTGCCCTCAACTTCTACCTGGTCTTCCTCTGTTTCTATTCCTATCCTAACAAAAATTGGATAATGATCACTCCCCATTGTGCTTTCCTTACATACTGTCCAGCTGCAACTATCACCAAAAGATTAATCCCTTAAGACTTTCGCTAAATCTACATCTCCAATAACTTTCTTCAAACTGATAGGACTTACTCCAATCATATCCTGCCAAGCCTTAAATTTTAAAATAATTTTAAAATCTTCCATCATTATTTTCATTCTAATTTAAACTCTTTCTTCCTGAAGCTCAAGAGATATTTTACCAGCATTTAGAACCCCTTACCTTATCTTCCCCCTCTAAAACTAACCATCCTGATCCTCTCACAATCCAGATTATGCCAAAACCACATTTAAATTCAACTTATTGCCAGATGACGTTTGAGCGCTTTCACTTTCAAAAAATCTAGTTCTCTTTATCAGCAACAGCCGCTTCCTCGACTCCCTCCTCCAGTCCTGCTTCCTCTGCTTTAGCACACCTGAGTCAGGTAATCAGGCTACCAGCAGATCCAGAACCTGTTTAGCTCAGGTGTGTTGGAGCAGAGACACATGTAAAGGACGCAGGACATTTGGACACTCCTGTATCAGTGGATGAAGTCCTTCATGAATTTATTTTCTGTTCTTCATAACAATAAATTTTACACCTTGTTATCCTGTATTTTTACACTTTGTTCTTATTGTGTTATTGTTTAGAGGCGATGTTGTTCAGCTGGCCGGAGAGGGACCAACATCGCTCGATACCAATAATCAGCAATGTGAGAGAAATATTGAAGTTATGAGAATAAAATATTTTTCTGTGTCTACAAAGAAGGTTGAATGAAGAACATGTTCATTTTTCTCATGTTTCACTACAGCAATCAATGCTGCTGTTCCAGCACATCTTCAATGTGTCGACATCAATGTTTATTCGCTTCCCGCTTTCATGCCATTTTACGGGAATGTATTCTCTGCCGGAGCAGCAAACAAGTATATATGCTATGTAAGTTTGTTTTTTCAACATCTCTCTACAATGATGAGAATAATTTTCTGTTTTACAACATAAATATATCAATAACATTTTTCTACAGGGTGATGATGGTGGAGCAGCGTTGCACAACGGCATGATTCATGGTGTGATTTCTCATGGTGGCCGATTTGTATTTTCAAATCATGTCTTACACTTAGGTACAAGTATATGGAGCAGACTGATAGAGATACGATTTATCATGAATGTGTGTAAATACAAAAGGTGGATAAAAAAAAGAACTGGGCTTAAATAAAAAATAAACTTTCATGAAATAAAACTCTCAGCAAATTTCCTCTCACATATAATTGTTTCTTCATCAGATTGATCCACATGTTTGTAGAGTTAGAATAAATCAAAAGTTGAGTTTTTTCTCACCTAATCTTGACCTCCCTAATGGAGCTTTCTCTGCCTCAGAAATGAAAAATAAATCAATAAATGCATGAAACAGACACATTTCCTGGCTGATTGTCTTTACATTTATGGTTCAGTTTGTTCAGTTGATATTTTCCCTGAACTGAGTCTAAAAATGTGACACGAGTTTTAAATCACATGAAGAGGAACACCAGAAGTAATTTATTTATTCAGTTTTTTTTCCTCCTCACTGGCAATAAATGTATATGTACAACTTTGGACATGCAGCTCAAGGAAAGATGAACACACTGAGATGCAGATTATTCTGGATTGCTTGTGAACCAAGACAAAATGACCTAAATATAAGTTGAATTAGAGTATTTATCCATCCATGCATTTAATAAACATCCTTGTCCCCAGTGGGGTCAGGAACAAAGTATTGATATTCATCAAGAGTTGTACTTGTTCAATCACAAAATATAATGATTATAATAAAAAATACATGTCATTAGTTTTCAATCACAAGCAGAGGAACACCAGAAGTAATTTATTTATTCAGTTTTTTCTCTCCTCACTGGCAAGAACCAGTGGCGCAAAAAGTGGGTATGCAAGGCATAGAGGCGCTGCACTAGAGGGGGCGTCAAAACCCCCAATAGAAAAAATGTTTTCCTAGTTAGCATTTTCTACATTTAACAGCATGAAATTATAAATAACGGAGTAACAGCACTGATTAGGAGCCCTTCTGCTCCTTCACCTCCCCTCCTATTTCTCTCCCTTCCCACACAGGTGGCTTGGGACCCTAAGAGAACAAACTCAGGAGCGTTGTTTTTCTTTTTTTTAAATCTTAGACTACCACTCTTAGTGTACTTGATAGCAAGATGGAGCGGCAACAATAAATATACTCACATGTATATTTATTGTTATTGATTCTTTAAGTAAAAATTATTTGTACAAGTTTATGTGTGTATCAGACAAATGAGTCCACTGTCACTACAGCCTTTAGACTCAAAAGGCAGGGGCACACTTTAGTTTAAATGTCTTATTCAGTATCACTACAGTGGGTTGAGATGTTTCTCATGAGTCAGATCAGATGTAATGTCCAGTCAGTAACTGTTATCCTACAAGGAGATCATTTAAATTTATAGATTAATTTAATGAATGAATCATTCTGTTTGATATCAGACAGAATGGGTCAGGAGAGGAACACCACAGACCCGTTAGAACCTAAAGAACCAGACATCAGTCTCTTCATCCCCCAATCATTTCTGGAGACCGAAAAATAATGTGAATTGCAATTTAAAAGAACAAATCATACACATAGATTAATAGTAAATCAACAAATATTGTGAAGGGAACATTAAAAACATTTTGTTAGGATTGTGTAGGAAAAAGATTGATATATTTTATAAATCCAATGTTTTGTGATCAATATAACCCTTTTTCATTCATTTATTGATTTATTTTTCATTTCCGAGGCAGAGAAAGCTCCATTAGGGAGGTCAAGAAAGGGTGAGAAAAAACAAAACTACTGATTCATTCTAACTCTACAAACGTGTGGATCAATCTGATGAAGAAACATTTATAAAATCACATGTGAGAGAAAATTTGCTGAGAATTATATTTCATGATAGTTCATGTTTTATTGAAACTCAGTTCTTTTAATCCACTTCTTGTATTCACACACATCCACGATGATAAAGACGCTCCATGTCATCACAGTTTCGACCTCCAATGATCCTCTTCTGCAGAGAAACAGGTGAGTCCACCAAAACACCTGATGAAGAAAATGGAGGACTGTGGTCAGAAATCAGGTCCAAACATGACTGCTGGAACAGAAACAGGATAAACAGTTGAAGATTAAAAAGCATCACAATTTCTTTGCAAAGAAGTGTCACTTTGACACTAAGTGCTGCTGCTCAGCCTCTGGTGTTTACAATTGCATCAAAGCAATAAAAAATTTTTTTTTTTTAAAACTGTAAAAGCAAAGATGAAAGAGGTCTGTCTCTTTAAGAAAAAAAAAATCACATCAGTTAAATTTTACCAAAGTTTTATGTAGGAGATATTTCTCTATTTTCAGTTAAATATCAGAATTTAGATTAGTTTATTCTCATTTGCTTAATTTCTACTTGCATTATAATTAGAATTTTTGTTTAATTTTAGTTATTTAGAATACGTTTTTGTCTAGTAATTCACTTAGTAAATTTTAGTTTGGGACATTAGTGTTTAGGTAGCTCATTATGCACGTGGCTGGTCATATGTTTTTTTTTTTCATTCTCAGCCAGTTAGTCACGTCAGTATAGCAGTCACTTCACCCAGTCGGTTTACCCTCCAGTAACTTATTTTGCCTAGGTTTAGGGTTATTTTCATCTTTTTGGACTGTGTAAGTCAAAATCCACTGTGCATCAAGTGGCTATTTGAGTTGAATTCATTTTTGCTTTGATCACCTCAAAGTCTTGAGTTTTTTTATTTTTGAATTTGAGTTTTTGGACAAATAGTCATTACAGTTTCTTTTAAATGTGTTTTAAAAATCTAAACTGTTTTCATTTCATTGGATGAATTTCTGTGAGTTTAAATTTTTTGTTGTAACTTTGAATTTACAACAAATCCAAATGCTCTGTACTACCCAACACTGTAATGGTGTTCTTTTTCAAAATAAAATAATCTGTTTGTAGAGGGTGATTTACGCAGCTCATCAATAAACAAAATGATTCTACTTTCAAAGGCAGATGTGAATTCTTGTATATTGGAAACCAAACAATTTTTCTTAAAAAAACCCATCAACCTATATGTCAAATTTGTGGCAACCAGAAGCTACCGTTAATTAATTTAGCCTGTTTTGAAATATTATCTTAAAACTTCTTTCATTCCAGATTTTGACTTTTAAAAGGATTTTAATTATTTAACTTTTTATTTCTTTGTATCTTTATTAAAAATGTGATTATTTTGACATTAGGATATTGTTATTTAATTGTATTATGTGACTTCTGGGTCATTATTTTGTGCACAGCTCTTGGGTCTTCTTGGAGTTTAAAGTTCTCTCGAACCAAATCAGGAAAAGTAACTCCAGAGCTGCAGAGTTTAAATACTGCATGTTCATTTCTGATGTAAAATAAAGAACAAAACTCAATAAATAAATTACTTTTGGTGTTCCTCTTCATGTGATTTAAAACTCATGTCATATTTTTAGATTCAGTTCAGGAAAAATAACTGAACAAACTGAACCATGAATGTAAAGACGATCAGCCAGGAAATATATGTTTATCATGCATTTATTAATTCAATTTTCATTACTGAGGCAGAGAAAGTCAAGATCAGATGAGAAAAAACTAAACTATTGATTTATTCTAACTCTACAAACATGTGGATCAAACCGACGCAGATACAATTATGAGATATGTGGGTCGAAATTTGATGAGACTTTTATTTCTTGATAGTTTATGTTTCATCAAATCCCAGTTGCTACTTTTATCCACCACAGGTATTCACAGACATCGATGATTGCAACTGGTCTCTGACATGCATCTGGTCCACCAAGACAAATAATGCCATAAATCAGGTCGTTGTACATCACTGCTCCACCAGGGTCGCTCTGGAGAAAAACATATCAATACATTTGTTTTAAAACAGAAAAGTCTTTGAATCACTGCAGAGAGATATACAAGAAATAAACTTACAAAACAAATATCCTTGTTCGGTGCTACAGCATACAATACATGCCCAAATGTCGGGATGATGATGGAAACAGAAACAACTTTCATGTCGACACATTGAAGATATCGTGAAACAGCACCACCAGGAGGTACTGTAGAGAAAATAAGAATCATAAACTTGTTCTTAACTTGATCTTCTCTGTAGAGACAGAAACAAAGATTTTATTCTCATAACTTCAATATTTCTCTCACATCGCTGATTATTGGGGCCAGTTGTTGTTCCTCCCTCTCCTGCCAGCTGAATAATATCACCTCTAAAACACAATAAGAATAAAATGTAAAAATACAAGGTAACAATGGAGAAAATTAATTGTTATCAAGAACAATGAAAGAACAGAAAATAAATCCATGAAGGACTTCATCCACGGATACAAGAGAGTCCACCTCCAGTCCTCAGTGTCCAGCGTCCTATACATGTGTCTCTGCTCCAACACACCTGAACTTAATGAGTTCTGGTTCTGCTGGTGCCCTGATTACCTGACTCAGGTGTGCTGAAGCACAGGCAGCAGGACTGGAGGAGTGGAGACAGAAAACCTGAAGTCATGTTTTTGATCAGAGAAAGACTTGCATGTTAAGACGATAGTTGCAGTCTGGCAGCCGAGCAAGTGGGACATCTGTTACTGGTTTCTCAAGCTTCAGCAACATGATGTCATGCAACTCGCTGAAAGTCACAGGTGAGTCTCGGATTATCTGGCTGTGCTTTATAACAGTCCTTGGATGAACTTTTAAGAATGCTCTGTTAGTCCTGCAGAAAATGTGAGATTATAATGAACAGACAGAAAACCTGATCATCTGCAGATAAAACTGTCTTCATGTCTCTTTGCTACCATCCTGGGTCTGACAGCCAGCAGCGAGCTGCAGACAAGATCCACTGAGGGTGGATCAGAGATCCTCCACAGCGGCTCACATGAGTACCATTGCTGCTCTCCAGCCTAACATGATAAAGACGCTCCGTGTCATCACAGTTTTGACCTCCAATGATTCTCTTCTGCAGAGAAACAGCTGAGTTCACTGAAACACCTGAAGAAGAAAAAGGAGGACTTTACTCAGAAATCAGGTGCAAACATGGCTGCAGGAACATAAAAGGATAAACAGTTAAAAATTAAAAACATCACAGTTTATATGCAAAGAAGTTTCAATCTGAGTCAGATTGAAACTCCCTGGAACCAGTGGAAGTGTCTCCAGTGTTTCCAACTCACCCAGTCCCAGCAGCAGCAGAACCTTCAGCAGAGCCATCGCTGGTCCAGCTTCCTGTGAATGTCTGCAGTCCTGCAGCAGCTTTTAAACTTTGTTCACAACTTCCTGCTTCAAGCCACCAATCACAGGACTGACACTGATCTGTGCTGTCCTCTGTATACAGAGAAACTTTAACATATCATTGTTCTAAAGAAATGTGAAAAAGTTATTCAGTTCTTGATTGTATACCTGATGAAATAAAACAAATTTACTGAAGAAAGGGTGACTCGTCCTTGTTTTCAGGTTGATTTTTTTCAAAAGAAAAAAATGGTTTCCAATTTACAAGATTTCAGTCCTTCCTTTTGTCTTGAAACTAGAATAATTTTTAAAAAGAACAATTTTACAGTGCTGCATGGTAAATAGCATGTGCATTTGTTGTAAATCCAAAATTACAACAAAAAAATTAAAACTCAGAAATTCACCCTTGATTTTTAAAACACGTTTAAATAAAACCATGGTAAAATTTGAACTCATATGATTCTTTTTATTAAAGACATAAACCTATTTCATCACCCATGATTCTTTGCTTACACAGTTTTTCTTGATTGCTTTGATGCATTTGTAAACACAAGAGGTTGAACAGCAGCACTTAGGGTCAAAGTGACACATTTTGTTAGCCAAAGGCTCAAACTGTGCCACAACATTGAAAATATTAAACAAAAGCAAATATTACTCTAATTTACCTTGAAATAAACATGACATGTTCCAATCTATCATTACATAATAAATGACAAAATACAAAACTTAATCTTCAATGATGACCGGAGGTTTTTAAAGTGTAGGAGGTCTAGCCTCCATGTTAGCCTAAATGCTTGTCTCTATGCTAGCCATCAATCCATTTTTAGGACAGGTGTGAGTGGCACGGTCACCCTGGACAGGTCACCTGACAGACAGGTGAAACAGCCATGCACACATATTCACACCAATGGAGAATTTAGACAGACCAATAAACCTAACAGTTATATTTTTGGGCTATGGGATGAAGCCGGAGTAACTGGAGAGAATTCACGCATGCAAAGGGAGAAAATGCAAACTCCATGCAGAAAGACCCCGGGATTCAAACCCAGCCAACACCGCTACCAACTGTGCCACTATGCACCATGATGCTAGCTGCTATGCTAGTCTCCCACCTCATCTCCTTGCCAGTCACAAACTTCTGCACAACTGAGGCTCCAAATATATTTCATGACTGAGAAACACCGCACTGTTAATATCTCAAGCCATCCATTTAATATAGCCCATTTCATGCATAGCGGGCAGTGGATCCAAAAGCAATTTCATTCTGTTTATATGCTTTTTTATTTTGTAAATGCAAACAGAACACTAAAGTAGTAATTAGTGCATCAAACAATACACTGCCTACTAATGGCCATTCATTTCAAGTGCAAGAAAATTTAGTTGAATCCAATATGGCCGACAAGTTAAAGATATATTGTGACATGAAGCAGCCCCTAAAGACTAATAGTTCTCATGTTGTTTCCAATTAGCAACTTTGTATTTGGAGAAATTACAAATGATCACCGGCCCACTAAAGTGGACATCATGCATCAGTGGCAAAATTTTGAGTTATTTACTGACATGATTACTGTGAATATAGATATATAATATGTACCATTTCCAACAAATATTTTGGCTATAAAACATATTTAAATATTTACACTACATATATTAATTCCAAACTGACCATGATGGACAAAGTGGCTTTAATACATTCAATACATTCTATTCATTACCACCATCTGTCATGTTGTGTGTGGTTGAACAGTGGACATATATACAGCGGGAAGGAGACGTAAAAGTTCTGTTGTAGAATTAATTAAAAATAAAACTTACAAAAATATCCAAGAAATAAAAAGAAACCCAAACCAGACATGAAGACACCATGAGGGATGAGGAGCAGTGGCGTGGAGTATCAAGACGAACCGGCGAGTAACAGTCTGTGATTTGATTCATTAGAGACATGATTACATAGTCATCTGCTGATCAAAAAAAACATCTGTTTTATGTGGCTAAAGGTTAGTTTGGTAAAAAGTGGAGTTAATGTGTTAACAAAGATTAAGTTAAGGACAAACAAAATACAAAAAATAGAAAAAAAGCCCTGATGCTACAATGTGAAAAACAAAAAGACTAATGTAACTAAAATATCCTTTGTAAAAGAAACTATGAGTCACAATTTCATAGACAAGAAATGTTACAAGAAATTCACAAGGAACACGCTGTTATGGACAAAAGGACTGTCTTTCAGGTAATCCTTCCGCATTGGCAATGAATGCAAATGATTTGGTCCAAGAACTGTAGAATCTCTCCTCGGCTATTTTTATCTTTTTTCTTTTGCTATCCATGGCCCACCACACCCATCCGGTTGTTTGCAACACCTGCATCTGCCTGTGGTGCAGTAACTGTGCGAGATGTCAAGTTGGTAAGGGTATTCGGCCAGCTATACATGACTTCATGGGGCATTTGTTGGCTTCACAGCCAAATGAGATCCTCGCCATTGACTATACAGTGATGGACCCTTCTCATAATGGGTTGCAGAATGTTCTTGTTTTGACAAATGTTTTCAGCAAGTACAGTACAAACCAAAAGTTTGGACACAACCTTCTCATTCAATGGATTTCCTTTATTTTCATGGCTATTTATAAGGCGAGAAAGCCCACTTATTAACCTGACAGGGCACACCTGTGAAGTGAAAACCATTTCAGGTGACGACCTCTTGAAGCTCATCAAGAGAATGCAGAGTGTATGCAAAGCAGGAATCACAGCAAAAGGTTGCTACTTTGAAGAAACTACAACATAAGGCGTACTTTCAGTTGTTTTACACTTTTTTTGTTTAGTATATAATTCAGTTTGATGACTTCAGTGTGAATTTACAATGTCAATAGTCATAAAAATAAAGGAAACTCAATGAATGAAAAGATGTGTCCAAACTTTTGGTCTGTACTGTATACATTAGCAGTCCCCACATGTGACCAACATGTATCCACTGTGGCACAGGTTTTAGTGACGGAGTGGTTCTCAAAGTTTGGCGTCCCAGCTCATATCCATTCAGATCACGGACGAAACTTTGAGAGCACTTTGATCCGACAATTGTGTAGCCTCTATGGTATTGACAAATCCCGTACCACACCACACCATCCTGCCGGTAACGGGCAGGATGGCAAACACTTCAGAGTTCATGAAAATATTGTTTTAATCTTTAATTGTAAGTTAATTTAATGTATACATTTATTTTGTGACAATTAGCAAAGTTTGATATATGTAGGATTTTTCTTTTTCCTTCTCCCTCGTTTACTGTGTGACTTCATGATGAAACGTGTTAAACTGATATTTATTTCACCTGTACGTTGCGTTTTCTGTCTAAAAACTTTCACCTGTTGTTTATCCTCACTGGTAAGAACTTCATATATATGTCACACGTAGATGGAGTAAAGATGAACACAATAAGATTATGATTGTGATGGACTGTTTTGCTATGGAACCAAGACAAAATGACCTAAATATAGACTGAATTAAACAGAGGATTCATATTTATGAAACCTTTTATTTGTTCAACCACACATCAATAAAATACACATGACAACAACATAAATAACAATGAAACAAACAAAAGTCATGTAAAATGTAAAAAATGTTTATGTAAAAAAAAATTAATTGATAAAAATAAAACAAGGAAAAAGTTACAAAATTAAGACTTTTTATTGGTTGACCTCTAAATTATCTCTACCTGGACTGGACTGATGAATCTCTAACAAATTGCTCATATTATTCTGGTAGGTGGACGGTTTTAAAGCATCTTGATGAGGTACAACAGAACTTTGTCTTTTGGGTCGCTCTGGTTCGGCCAAACACAGTGTAGCCCCGCCGAGACTCGTATCGCTTCACAATGTCAGCAGCCGACCTGTTGCTCTTGTGCAGAGCGCCGACCCCAGAGGCGACCTACGGCCTCAGGTTGGTTATTAGTTTGTCAGTTTGAATTCCTGTTCATATTTAACCGGTGAAGAACTTTCACGTACATCTTTTGGACTCAGAGCTTATTCTAACATCTTCCTGTTCAGTGGTTACTATTTGTTTTCTGTTTCTGTTGTGGTTGTAACATAGTCAGTGCTTTTTTTTTCTGCTGTTGTTGAGGCTTACCTTCAAATTAGAATCTATTACTTGTTTAAAGCTAACCATGCTATTGATGTATATATGTGCTGATAAATCAGTTATATATTTTAGATATCACTGGATGTTGGAAAAGAAAAGGCTGAATTATTGGATTATTCCTGTAGTTGTGCAGCTGGTAAAGGTTTTTGCAGTCATGTAGTTTGCAGTCATGTAGTTCCTCCTGCAGCTGGAGGAACTGCAGGAGGATTTGCAAGTGAGGAACTACAAGTGATTTACATCTTTGCAAATCACAAGTGATTTACAAAGATGTAAATCACTTATGATTTACATCTTTGTAAATCACAAGTGATTTACTAAGATCACAAGTGATTTACAAAGATGGCACAGACCAAGAACACAGATGAGAAAAAAAGAGTGGGTCACATTGTCCTATGGTATGTGATATATAAATATACTACATATACGAAATTATATACTATATTACATATACTGTCATATATATGACCTTAAAATAACAGTACTATAATTATGTACACAATTTATTCCACCTTTGATTGTGTCGTACAGCCATTTACATTCCTTTCTCACCTGTTGTTTTATTATTGCCATATGAAATTTGTTGTAAACTCATTATTACTTGTGTCAAATATAATTGAAAATTTATCTCCTATATCAGTTAGAAATACTAAAGTTTTTTTTTTTTTTTTTACTAAATGCCAGAAAACTTGGCAAAAACATTTTTTAGAAATTATTTTGTAAATCTCCTTGTATTCAAAAGTTTACATACATCAATATCACACATAACTGTCTCTTACTTGGGTCAAACATTTTGGGTTTCTTTCCACAAACTTTGAATTGATTGACACATTTGAGTTAATTGGAGACACACCTTTGAATTTATTTTAAGGCCACGTCCAAAACACACTGATTTCTAGTTTGACGTGATGAGAAGCTCAGAAGAAATCAGTGGAAGTATCAGGAAGAGACATGCAGCTGCATAGGGCTGGTTCATCCATGGGAACAAATAACTGATACTTGAAAGAGCCGCCTTTATCTGTTCAAACAATTATGGGAACGTCCAACAATCATAATGTTCAAGTAGACTGAAGGCTCATTCTAATCCTGGAAATGTCAATAAATGTTAATATCACCTGCGTGTAAGTTTACCCAGGTTGAACTTACCGTTAAGCTCAAAGGGACTCAATCACAAAATTACATACTTAGGAATTTTCACAGCATTTTAGTGCCTTTCTGATTATGAATACATAACTGTAGTTTGTTAGTACTTCACAGGTAGTTATTGTGTATTTCTTATAAACATTTCTTAAACTTACTCTCACTTACACTGTAAAAGTTAAGAAAGTAAATTCTTTCCAACTCAAGCAAACATGGTCTAAACAAAAATATCTGAAGTAAAAGGAAGATCCTCTTTCAATAAATTATAAAAGTTATTCACTTAAAGGATACTGGAGGGTGATGGGACCAAACCGTCGTAAAATTTTCTTTTACAATACTTAAATAAATGCTGTAGTTTATTTTCATCACACTTATAAAAAAGAATTTGAACAAACATCCAACAAATCATTTCTGAGAGTCATATATGTCATATAATAATTTCCTTAGATTAGAGGACTAGGATAAAAGAAAGGCCTGTTTTTGATTGGTCAGTAGTGTGCTTCTTTTACATACACTATGAATCTGCCAATCACAAACAGGATCTGCTTAGTTAGGGGAGGTGTAAAACTGAGAGCAGAGCCCCTCCCAGAAAAAAAACCTTTCAATATATATTATCAATTGAGAAAATTATCAGTCACTAGTCATCCTCCAGCAAAATGTTCCTCTTCACTTTGGTGCTTGGAGTGCTGTTTCTACCAGAAGGTAAGTTTTTGATTGCAATTAACATTATTCTAACATTTTATTATTTAGTTTGATTTCATTAAACTTAGCTGTTCTCCTTCTCTCCCATAAAAAACTACAATAATAATCTATTTTCTGCTTTTCTTGTGAAGCCTGTCAAACTTTTTCTTCCCATTCTGTATTTTGTGCTGACATGATTAAGCCATTTTGTTTTGGTTAGGAAGAAGATTTTGGCTTTTAGAAAACATGTAATGTAGAGGTTTCCTTCATACTTTGTTGACAATAAAGTTCCTTTTCTCTTTTATTTAATCAGCTGACAACCTGAAATGTAAATGTGAATCAAACACCTATGGAAGTTGCTCTCAAGAAACAACTGAATGTTCCTCACAGTTCGATCGTTGTTTAGCAGGAATACAAGTCACAACTAAAGGTACGTATTTGTGAGATTTCCAGTTGATGACATTTGGTTTGGGACCTCATCAGTTTGAAATTTGTGTTCTTTAATTACAGGTGGAATGGATTCTGAGTTGAAATACAAAAATTGCTTTAAATCTGAAATGTGTCTTAACTCCTCTATCAACTATGGAGCTTATAGATTTGCACAAAAGACCAGGTGCTGCAGTGGAGACCTTTGCAACGCCCAGATTGACTACCCAACACCTGGTAATTAATCATTGATGGTATTTTTCAACACTTAGCACAATTTGACTTTACAGTGCTCACAAATAAAATAAGTATCAGAAAGAGTTAAAAAATAGAATACACTTAGTTTTGTGATTCCAGGTTCATATACATGTTTTAGGAGAAACCAGTTGGTGACAAAAGATGAAAGCTTTTGAGAAAAATTATAATAATTCTTCATTTCTTGTAAATGGAATAACTATCCCTGTATCTTTAGACTACAAGTCAAATGGCAGAAAGTGCTTCAGCTGTGAAGGAGAAAACTGCATGAAAACTCTTAACTGTGCAGGGGATGAAAACTACTGCATCAAAGCAACAGGTAAAAAGCCAACATATTTGCAAGCTTCATATTTATCATCAGAAGGATGTTAAGACGAGGTCTGAACATTTTGCTGAAATCAGGACTTTATTTCAATTTTCACATGAAATACAGATGGAGTAATCACATTGAAGGGGTGTGCCTCTGAGATGATCTGCTCAGATACGTCAGCTTCACGGACGAATCAGTTCGCTTCACGGACGAATCAGTTCGCTTCACGGGTGAATCAGTTCGCTTCATGGGTGAATCAGTCCGCTTCACGGATGAATCAGTTCACTGGACCAAAGATTAGCTGTTGCAAGGGCAACTACTGCAACAGCGCCAGCAGCACCAGTCCCATCCTGATGCTCCTCTTGGTCCCTCTGTTCTTTTCTGCCTTATTTTCTTAGCTCACAGAAAATACTGCATTGCTGCCATGTTTTCTTTTTAATCACCATTTATTTCATAAATCTGTTCTTTTTATTTGATTCTATAGCTTGGTTAGTTAAGGAAAATTTTATAATCAACAACATCCTTTATAGTTTGTTGTTGTATACAAAACAAATCTTCCTCAATAAACACAATTTCTTTTTTAATATTCTGGGTCCAGTACCTGTCTGATTCTAAATGTTTAGCTTTGAAAAAACAAAATGACTTGATGTTATAGATGTGGAATAAACATGTTACATTTTCTTTGCTTTAATATTAAAACTTTTTTATTCCCTTTTATTATTATTTTTGGTATGCTTGAATTTGCAGCATTTAATATGTTTTGTTGTCTGACTTGTACATTCTTCTATATTGCCTTTTAATGTAACCAAATGTCTGCTTTTCTCACATTTTAAATTTTTGCCAATCAGCTTTATTAAAACACCATCTTGTGATTATGACATCTTCTTGTTTCTTTATATTATCATTAATTATTGTTGTAGCAGTCCCTCAGACCCAAGAAAAACACGGAGAGCCTCGACGGGTGCAGGATGTTCACTTTTACTGGGTTCAAACCAGTTATTGAGTCACCGTGAAAACTAAAGAAAAAACACACAACACATTATTCATTGAATACATTACATCAACCAAATAAAGCTCCAAAAGAGCACCTCGCTCCGCCGTCCGAGGGCTGCAAAGTCCACAGCGGTAAAGGTTGTCGTGCTGTCCTAAACGCTACTGAAAATATGAGCACCTGTTCAAGCACAAAATGAAGATGCTCCTCCTCTTCCTCCTGTCCATGGGTGCTTCTGCCCAAAGTGCTGACTGACAGGAGACTCGCACCGACTCGACAAAAAACTGAACTACAGTGCCCCTACTGGACACTATGGGCAACAACCCCACCTAGAACATACAATGAAATGGGGATTTACAATTGTACTCACTGGATACTGATCACTCCCTATTGTAGATTCCCTGTTGACGTCCCATTCACATGAACCTACAAGACAGTCAGATACTAATGTAATATCAAGACATGAGATTGTACTTTTATGTATATATACTCTGGTACCTTTTCCATTGTTAGGACAAACTAATGACCTTTCATCCATTATTTCTTCAATTATGTTGCCATTTTGGTCCGTCTTCTTGCTACCTCAAAGACTATTATGGGCATTAAAATCACTGCACCATAATTCTATGTAATTTCCCAGCCATTTCCTCAAACATTTTACAATCAAGATTTTTACATGGATTATAATAATTTATCATTTTAATATTTCCATATTTCCTTACATTAAATATTTCTACAATAATTCATTACCCATTGGGATTTTCTGATAAGCTATTCCAACTTTAAAGTAGCACACCCTCCTCCATTACAATTATTTCTATCCTGTCTTTCCATGCTATATCCGAATCTTAAAATCTAGCTTTGGTTTTAACAAAGTTTCTTGAATACATATAATCTCAGGAATCATTTCTAATTCATAAATATACCTTTTAAATTCTTGTCCATTGGCTATTAAACTTCTAGCATTCATTGAAGGATATGTAAAACCATTAAAAAGAACGCTTGGATCCTAATCCTGAGTATTTTCTGTAGTTTCAGTGGCACTCAGAATGGTATGTATTTGATCTGCTTGTATTTCTTTCATATCTAAAAATCTTCCAGCTGCTGTTACTATTGTCTTTATTTTATCGCTTTTCTTCTTCATTTTCACTGTTATATTAATAATATGGCATATAAATGCTACAAAGTTTTCTTTTTTTGCCACCATTGTATCATCATCCATTCTGCATTTATGCAAGCATGCATTTTGGATATTTGCATTTGGAACCAAGATTTGTCTCTGCCTGTTCTGCACTTGATTTATATTCCAAGCTGAGTTTCTTTATCTTTTGGAATGGGAGACTCTTGGCAGTGTCTCCCATTCCTCTATCACTGTCTTTTTTTTACTCTTTTTAAGGCTTCAGCATATGAATATAAGTAAAACCGGAACACACGAATAGAAACGAGCTAACTAGAGTAGTGACTAGAGTAGTGAAAAACAGCTCAACCTGGGACAGAATTTATTTACCTCTAAATCAGTGGTAACAGCCAAGTCACAATGACTACCGCTGTCACCACCCAAAGTTATACCAGGTGCAGTAAGATTTTGCGACCACCAGGGGGCACTAACAACTCTTTAACATTTTCACACTTTAAACTCGGCACGGATCAAAAACTTCTGGACTTATTTACATCTCTGACACATGTTTCTTTACTGTTATCTGTCACAAAAGATATTTTTGCTAATAAACATTTAGAATCAGAATTTCTTTTTGTTTTTAGTTTATTCAGGAAGATAATTGTTTTAGTGCACAGCAAAAACAATAAAATACTGGGGATGTCGTTAATTGCTAAATTTGCTTGGTTTTAGTTTACTAAATTTATAGAGAATCATCTCAAGGAAAAAGAACAAACTTATTAAATGAATGATTCTTAAAATGAAAACATGAAGTTGTTTCTATGAGCTACAAACATGAGACAGAAAATACCAGTGACACCAACACGACCAGCAGGCGTTGTTGCAGTCGTTGCCCCGGCAGTAGCTAAACTCTTCTGCAACAAACAAATCCATCAGTGATTCTGACTGATGTGAGCAGATCAAACTCAGAGGCACATCCTTTCATCAGCAGACTTGCTCCTGCTGCGTTCACTGTGAAGATGAAAATAAAGTTATGTTGCCAGTAACATGTTTGGATCTGGTCTTTGGATAAATACTCGGTATGTAAAAACATGACATCCTGAGATGCAGGAGTTTTTGTTCCCTTCACAGTTGAGGGTTTTCATGCAGTTTTATCCATTTGGATTGTAGTCGAAAGAAGTGCAGAATCATGGCAATTTCTTTCAAAGCTCTCACTTTTTTTGTTTTTAATCACCAACTCATTTCACCCAAAATATCTGCATATGTACGGAGCTACATTGGGGGCACAAGGTTTCTTCAGAAGAAAAAAATGAAACTGAAAAAATGCAAAAAATCACATAACATTTGAAATTAAGAAATTACTCAAAACAACTTTTCAGATTGTACTTGTCAGGAGTCACGACTGACAGTTGGACAACTACAGTCATTGTGTTTGAATCTGTACAAAAACAAATTCCTGAAACCAAAAAAAAAAAACGTAAAATCTGAAAAGTAGTTTTGAGTATTTAATTCACGTTCAAATCTTATTCTTCTTCTGAACAAACTTTATGGCCCCAATTTAAGCCTGTAGTGACCCAATTCCTATTTTTTGTCAAATCGGATTTTTTGCCGTGACCTTTCACACTTCCAAATAAATATAATCTGTGATCTGTGAAAGACAAATTACCTGAAAATGTCCTGTAGGCGCATTAGAGGTCAAGATAATGTTACACATACAGAGCGTGCTCATTGTTTTGCCAACCGCCATAAAGAAGGTTTATGTGTTTATATCCTCAGTGTTTGTTACACATTTGAAGTTGTTGACTGATAGGAGCAGCATATTAAGAACTTAATCCTCATTATCATCTGCCATTGTTGTTGTTTTTCTTCCTTCTTGCAAGTATCAGGATGCAGAATATGGGCATTTGTTGAGTATCAGTAATGTTAACGTCGGATGAATGCAGCCTTTGACATTCAGGTCACATTTGAAAAGAACGGATACGAGTCAAATACCTACGTAGCCTGGGTCCTATTTGAAAAAAAAAAAAACAACCTGTGTTGTTCAGACTGTCAGATATAGGTTGCATTGTGGCAATAAAAAAAATTAAAAATAGGTTTTACTACCAGTGGCAGTCAGCTGCACCAGTGGCAGTTGACTGCCACTGGTGCAGTCAACAGAGAATATCACCCCAGATGATTCGAGAATGGTCCAAGGCTCAAGCAGTGCTTCTTGCACGTGCATCACCTACAAAATGAAAGTACTTTTGGTGTTCTGTGGTGGCCTAGCGGTTTAGCGGTTTAGCACAACCGGCTGTTGCAGGTTTGACTTCAGACATCTTCCCCTCTTTCCTGTCAGACTACCTTCAAAATATACGGGCCACTAGAGCCAACAAAATCCTCGGAGAAAAAAGAAAATACTTAGAAGCGTAATATGTTTCACCGAGCTCCTTGGACAACAAATACAACATACATTTCTGTTTTGGGTTTAAATTCAAGTTCCTATCGCTATGCAAACCCTCCAGTCCTCCTGACCTCCTGTATGCAAAAATCTACATACAATTGCTTTGAAATATACTGTTACACTAAAAAGCAATCATTGCATGAACACATGCACTTTCTCACACAATGTTCACTTGGAGTTTTCAGGATTTCAACAGGTGATTGTTTTAACTGCAGTTAAATATGAGCAAACTGTCTTCAAAAACTCAATAAAGTTCACAGTTTCCTAATGTTCAAGTCCAGAATGAACATGTTCAAAGCATCCAAGTCTATAGAAAGCTATCAAGCTCACATATACATAAATTATAATTTTTAACACATAAAGAACTCATTATCTGTGAGCTGTACATGTGTTTTTCATGTTAATCACCGCATGTTCTTGAGAAAACATGCGGTGATTTGTGTTACTCAACTCCACACTTTGCAGGGACGATGCTGGTATATTTATTTTCCTTGTTTTACTACCTGTCTGTCTTATTAGCAGCTGAAGTTACATTGTTGGCTTCATTTCTTAGAGATCACATTTTCTCCACAAACTCCGTGAAGGTGTCCGGTGTTCATGGGCTTATAAAATAAACATGTTCAAAGATATAGACAGAGACCAACATCAACACATCCTTTGAACATAAAGCGTCCTCTTTCAAAGGAAGCAATTTTTTTAAAAACATCCTGAGCTAACAGAAACAAATGATGATGTGGTGAATTTTTCATTAACAGGGAGAAAAAAAAACATTAAATAAACACAGAAAGATCAATTTTTATCTTAATGATTTTATTTGAAAACTGTCACTGAACTAGTCAGAGAAGCAGCCCTGATGTGAGTTGAACAGTTATTTGCCCACATCCTGTTTTCACACACTCTAATTTGAGATGAAGAACAAAGGACGAACTCAACCCCTGTCAGAAGAAAGGCAGAAGTGAAACAGTTCTGTATCTAAAATACAATCATACAGAAGTTTGAGAATGTTCTGATCACGGTGGGTTCAACCGCTTTGTCTGACCTGTTTTTCCAATGCGGCCTTTGACATTCAGGTCACATTTGAAAAGATCAGATATGATCTTTTCAAATTATCTGATGAAATT